AAATGAAATGTATAAACTACAAAATTGAAAAAATATATATTTGTTGTTTTCTAATTTAGAGGCTCCGTTAATTAAAGAGGTTTGTTTTTATTATTTAAATTTAAAATCAGAGGACAAGTCAGGGGGAAGGTTATCTTTATAAACAGGCCACATCCTGTAAAGGAGCAGCAAAAGTATATAGGTTCCACTTTTAAATTAAAATTGGTTCAGAATACACACACACTGACATAGTCATCTAGCATAAATCAACCTAATAACCCGAGCGAAGCCGAGTACTTTCGCTAGTTTTATTATGAAATAGTCGAGCAGTGAATAAATATGTCATAATTGCTTCTCATACTTACTTAAAACACTAGTTACAATATTTATTTAAAACACGTGGTTAGGGCACTCGACTCGCAATCTGAGGATCGTGGGTTCGAATCTCCGTCACACCAAACATGCTCGCCCTTTCAGCTGTGGGGGCGTTATAAAGTGACGGTCAATCCCACTATTCGTTGGTAAAAGAGTAGCCCAAGGGTTGGCGGTGGGTGGTGATGACTAGCTGCCTTCCTTCTAGTCTTACACTGCTAAATTAGGGACGGCTAGCGCAGATAGCCCTCGTGTAGCTTTGCGCGAAATTCATAACAAACAAACAAACAAACATTTAAAACACTAGTTACAATAAGCTTGTTTGTTCGTTTGTTTGTTTTTTAGAATCTGTGAGTAAAGCTACTTAAGGTTTATCTGCGAATAGCCGACCTTAATATACCGATAGACTACTGGGAAGGTAGCTAGTAAGCAGCACCCACCGTCAACGTTTTGGTTATTGCTAGTTTTGTTCTTTGACCACATTTGGGCATCAGGTGTTCCCAAAGCGCGGAGCGCGTTTTTACAACAAGTTACGAAACATGAATATTGGGACTCGCAGTCAGGAAGCGATACCCCCCCCCCAATTATATTAAGTAGTGGATAATAGGAGGAAAATAAGAGAGCAGAAGAAACTCGGGGGTAAAAAAAAAAGACTTTGCCTACTTGTAAGGAAATGTCCCCCGGTGGGACAGGGGTAAGTCTACGGATTTACAACGCTAAAATCAGGAGTTCGATTCCCCTCACTGGACACAGCAGATAGCCCGATGTGACTTTGTTATAAAACACACAGAGTAATTTTTATGGAAATACCGAAACTAGATAAAACAAATACAGTAATAGGAAGTTTTTCTTAATCATTGTAAACGGTAAAACAATTTCACGTGTTTACTCAGTTGAATTTTGTTTGATTTTCAATCACACTACAAGTAACTTGAAAGACTGCGTACAGAGAGTTTAAAAAGCTTCTTTTTTGTGAAAGAATATTAATAATAATCTGTCACTTAGTAACTTTTTATAATAATTATTGTATTTAGTAACGAGAAGATGTTCATAAAAATGCACACGTTGTAATCATGAGTTGAATCGTGGCAGGTATACAGTCTTAATTCCTTCCGATCACAAGTGGGGGAGAAATCTGCAAAATGGCAGCTGGAACGGAATGATAGGTATGCTTGAACGTAAGGTAAGTTCATATAAAATAATAATGTCTTCCTCCAGTTACCATGACGTGTGTAGTTTATACGCTGAATATTGTTTGAAATATATGACTAATTTTAATTCCCGTTGTTCATCTATGAAGTGGTTAGGGCTTCTGGTTTTCGGTGTTTATTCTTCTTCTTCTGTAGCTTTTTCCCGTATCTATACGGGGTCGCTATTTTTGGTGTTGGCAGGGTTTTTACGGCCGTCCCTAATTTTGTAGTGTAAGACTAGAGGGAAGGCAGCTAGTCATCACCACCCACCGCCAACTCTTGGGCTACTCATTTACCAACGAATAGTGGGATTGACCGTCACATTATAACGCCCCCATGGCTAAAAGGGCGAGCATGTTTGGTGGGACGAACCCGCGACCCGCAGATTGCGAGTCGAGCGTCCTACCCACCTGGCCATGCCGGGCCCTTTTCGGTGTTTATTACTTTAAAACAAAAATATTTTTATTTATTTTAAGTTTCATTTAGATTTCTTAAAATCGATGTTTTTTCGTAGTTTTTGCTTTTCATACTGTAATGAATATCCTACTATACTGTATAATCTGTGCACCCTAGTTTCTCTTGTTGGGGTAATAACAGGTACAAAATAAAATTCTATTTATGTTAAAGCTTTGTAAGAGCTGCTAATATTTTATATGAAAACTAACTTACAATTAACGGACGAAGTGTATTTCTTTTCCTTCTGGGTTACGTTTCAAGGAAATGTACTAATAAAAGTAGCTACAGTTTGTATGTCCAGTAAACTGGATAACAATCCCTGTTTTCATTGTACTAATAAAAGTAGCTACAGTTTATATGTCCAGTAAACTGGATAACAATCCCTGTTTTCATTGTATGTCCGATTTCTTTCTTTCTTTGTATCGGGAGTGTTTTATTGGTTAAAACTGAAAATCAGAATCTCTCCAAGTGTTCCTCTTCTTTCTAAGTAAAGTAAGTAACATACCAAGAAAGTAAGAGTGTTATAAATTTATATACCCCCCAAAAATAATATATGTATATAT